TAGAATAATTTTTTGTATGTAAATGACCAATCAATTCAAATATAATTGAAGTAATTTAAGAAATAAAGCATTAAAACCTGTAATTTATTTATACACATGTTTTTCGATAAAAGTCCAATTAATAACATTATGGGTCTGTTTGACATTAATTTTGTTTTCTGTAAAAAAGTTTTCTTAGAAAGTTTTCTTAATTTTTGTTTGAAAACTAATTTCAAAAAGAATTTCTTCTTCTAAAAGTCTTTTCAGATGAAACCATATTGGATTAACTTTCTTTAAATTTTTCTAATTAGAATAAGTACTTTCATAAATTTAGTCAAACGGGGTCCAAATATATTTTTTGTGTCTCAAAAGTTCATTTTGACTTAGAAGTTATGCTAAACAGGCCTTATATGTATTTACAAAAAGTTTATAAATATTCCCACAAGTTAAAAATACAAATTATCTTATAAACAATTTAACTTTTTCATCGTTTAAAGTTGGATATTTATTTAGGTTTAATTGTAATGATTATCGTATTGCTTTGTCTAGAGCAATGATAAGATCACCACGACTCAAACATGTTGAATTTCTCATGTGAGATTTAATTAAATCACTTCCGTCAAAATGAACTCAATTGCAGTTAGTGTTTTTCGTCTCTTATTTAGCATGGTGCTATTAGCTCTTTATCTCTAGGTTCGAATCATTCATATTTCTATGGATGAATTACTATTGGCAGAACAATTATTACTCAATATACTTTGCACTTCGTATAAAAGTAATTATTTAAGATTGAACTTTGCATCGCGAGTTTGTATAAAAACGTGCTTTGGTATGGGAAGTAAGTGTTGGAAAACAATGGAGAGTAGAAGAAGAGGAAGATGGAAACACCAAATGGAATGAATTTGCAATACTTGAACACGTTGGTGAACGTTGTTCTCAAATGATATTTGTTTTCTCTCCAAATGCTCTTAAGGATTTAAATGACAAGTAGTTAGAATTTACCAAGTATAAAGAAAGAACACAAAAACGCAAGTAATTCTTTCAAAATGAACTCAAAGAAAACTCGAAAGTTTTTGATATGATCTCGATGATTTGGAGTAACAATATGGATTTCTTGTCTTAATTCATTGATTGAGAATGGAATACTAACTCATATTTATAGTATTCCAATAATAAATCATGTAATCAAGCCAATCATTCATGAAAGGTTGGAATACATTCATCAAAAGACATCAGAAACAAACCAGAAAACAAGCCATAACGGCTAGTTTTCATACCCTCAAGCCATGTGATGGCATGGGCAAAAAATGACTCCACCATCTTTCTTTTTCTATGCATTCACTTGACTCATCCACAATAAGGCCCAACATGTACAAGCACAAAATCACCATTATAATATCATTTTGAACAATAAGTACAACGGTAAACTACATTCCTCTAATTCCCCATGTACTTAAGGAGGTAAGGTTTTTCATGTCCTTTCCTTGTTCGCGAACATCTCTTTGATAATATATTGAGTAGAGGCAATGCTGAACTCCCTATTTAGTGCTTCGGTAGGACCTAAGAATGCTACCGAACTAGATGATTTTACCCAAAAATAAAATAAAATAACAATATAACTATCTTCCATGATTCATTTTTATTTAATACAAATAAATTAATTTGAGTCAAAACTTCCAACAAGCTGTACTAAAAAAATTAGCAACTACACGAATCCATGATTGGAGAAAAACTTGCAGTCCACTATGACCTATCCATGTAGTTGATTTGTTAAAAAAAGACACATTCAAGGTTTGAAGTCCTTCATTTTAAGTTTATCAAGTAATAGACATCATCAACAATGTATAAAAATTTCCTAAATCTAAATAATCATGTGATCGTAAAGTATATGTAGATGTCTAAATCTGTTTAAGATTTTGTGCTGACTAGATTTTGAGCTAATCTGTATTCCTTGTTTGCACACTCAACCAGATCAAGAATATTTGGCCAAAAGAGAGGAGGAGGTCTGGTTAGAAACACTCCGATACCTAAATTATTTGTGTATTTGAGAAGTGAAATGGACCTTACAAGTTTGTGATCTTGTTTTGAGCAACCTAGAAGAGGATTGAATAGATTTATGCGAAACTTTTGACTACATTTTATTGTGAATGTTCATTTAAGATTTACTATTACTGATGTGCCAACAAAGCAATGAAGAGTTCTCTGTTCTGGTTATCCAATTACACAAGCAACACGATTTCATTATGATTATAATAGCCTAATATTTAAGCCAAGCAAAATGAAATTGAGAGAGAACAAAACACTCAATTTTCTTCATCTCTAATTTCTGAATAGATTCAAGACCCCCAGTCTTGAATTAGCACCACTCTTCGTCTGCAACATGATCTCCTAGATCAGCACAATACACTTGAGTCTCTGCCTTTTGCTAATCTGCCAGTCTTCTTTGTGAACGTCAAGAAGTCAAGTTTTCCTTTGTTCGAAACATTCTGAATTTTTATCTATCTTCATGCAATGAAGTAGGTTGGGATAAGTTGGGATCTTATGAAACAACCGAGAATGCAAACTCAATTTTTGTGAACAGATGATTTAACTCGAACAACAACTTCTCCTACAGAACTATTGTTTCTAAAGCTCAATAGCTCACTGAACATTGTCTCGTTTGAACCTTTCCTAGAAAGCATATATTAAACTAAGAGCAAAGAAAGAATAAAGGCAAACACTCAAGATTTGCTTAGGACAACTAAAGAGAAACCTTGTATAGTATTGCTGCTTACTCTAAGATAAACTCAGTAGGAGGTGGCCGAATCTTGATTTTGTAAGATTCATTCATTGTACGGGCCATCATATAAATTCACACACAATAATAATTCAAGATTCTAGGTTTTGTATCTTCCTCGAAGTTAATAGAAATTTGAGTTACCATACACTGTTGCCAGCTTCAAACACTTGAAATCAGCTCTCATTCTTGTGATCTGGACCTGAAATAACATGTACAAAGTTAGACAACTGGATAATCAAATATAAATTTCTCTTAGTAGTTCACATCACAGTCACACAGCAAAAATATTAGTAATGCATTTTAAAGAAATGTAGAATCTTCCTTTTTAACGAAAACAATCCAAGGTCAGTTCCTAATACCTTACTTGACGGCTCTTTCTGTTCTAAGCCTCCGTTTGTATACAATTTATAAACAATTATGCTAAATGTACATTCTTTTGTACAAGTGGCCTTACATTCCTCGTTTGTGGCATAATCTAGGCACGAAAGAGAAAGACTGCTAGGAAATCGAAATGGATAATGGTGCCATGTGACATAGTTTAAGGGAAGATGTACACAAGAGTGTACATATATCATGGTTGATTAATAAATTGGTTTATAAATTAAAAGTCAAGATCAAATATTAATTTCAACCTGACATTCACCATAACTACTACTCATTTTTATACACATTAAGTGGGACTAGGACCCGCTACTCATTTTTATAAATTTGTGAAATGGAGGATAAAATATGCAATACTTAGTTAAAACATACAATACTTAGGGAGTAACTTACGGTATGAGAGAATAGCAAACGCAGCCTGTATGATGGTGAGAACAAGCAAGGCAATGGCAGCAATGACTGAAATGAGTGCCCATGGAGTGTTGAAATAATTTCGCCTTAATATTGCCAGCCATCTATTTCTTTTGTGGCCACAATGTTCGTTCACACGTTTGACAATATTAGAATACGAAAACTGAGAAGAAGTCATGACATACTTGCCTAGCTTGTTGATTACATTATAAACCATTTCGTCGCTCCCCAAAATGTGGTTAATGATTCCATATTGGCGCAACAATTTTGCATCTTCAGGGGAACGGACGAGACAATGCATGAAGAATACATAGTCTGTCACATTTTTTTGAGGTCTGCGTTCGATGTAGTACTCATATGCAATTAGATTTCGGAACAATGATTCTGTTGAATCAGAAATTTCCCATTCTTGAATGATCATTGCTTTATTTTCGAATTTAATATCAAAAAAACTATTATCTTCCGACTTTTTGAACGAAATCCCTGCCTCTTTGAGCTCTACAGCTGAATTTATATTCAGGATTTCACCTGAATTTCCAGAATCCATTTCAAAGGAAGAAGACAGGTTGTAATGTACAATACCAAGAAGATGGTGAGCATTATTGGGAACTACAGGAAGAGCTTGCAATGGGAAAATGCTATTTCGCAGTAAAGGTGATATTAGAGAATTTATATTGTCTAGATCATTGATCTCGATCTCGTTGAACAAACGTTCAATGATGAAAAATGGAATTTGATTCTCAAATACCGTTAGATCATTAAGCAATTGACTTTCTATATGGTCATACTGGAAAATAGGGTGGTCATCTTCATTCCAAGAATCTCGGTGAATAGACATATAAAGAAATTCGATGATAAAACAACCATCAAGAATCAACATTTCCACGAACTCACCTTCATCAAGTTGGATGTCTGCAGCATAACAATTCTTCGCTTCGTCTCTTACTTGTCTTATTGAGGTAACATATCTTTCTACACTTGGCTGAGTTGAGTCTGTTCTTCTTTCAAGAAACTGCTTTAGATACCTGACTTTGTGTTGCTCCATGTTCTGCAAGTTAGGCTTACTGCGGTGAAATGGGCCAATGGCTATTATTTGTGGATCATAAGCCTCTGGATTAATTCTGCGTAAATTGTCAACAACTCTAAACATTGAGGGCTTTGAAGGTGTAGAAGAAAAGTTATTAATCATCTTATTAATTTTATCAGTGACACTGTCAGCTCTTCTCTCAGACATTTTTAACTGTTTGTGGAAATCAATTAGGGGTTGAATGAGTTTTTGAAGAAAAATGAAAATGGAGTGAACTGGGGATTTTTGGGGCTTAGTCACGATACAAACAAACAAAAGGATAAACCTATTTAAAATCAATGGTCCATGTTGTCTTAAATAATTATTGATATCATATTTCAAATACTTGATAACATACTTGAAGCTAGTGGTGGCAATGGCGAAGCTCGGTCCTTACCCGCACGAGCTCGATGACGTACTTAAAGTCAGTGGTGGCAATGGGCCAATCCGGCTGGGCCTTTACCCGCACGTGCACGAGCCAAGCTCGTTGCTCGTGCACTCGTGCCCAAGCTCGCTGCTAGGCTCATTGGCTCGCGATTTTATATATATATACACATTTTCTAAAGAAATGTATATTTAAAAAGTTGTTTACAAAATATATCTTGACCGTCGCCCTTTTAAAGATTGAATTTTATTTTTTGTTTACCCTTTTGATGATATAATTTGGATTATATATTACACACATTTTGTAAACAATTTTTTAAATATACATTTTTCAAAATATTTTTATTTTGAAAAAAAGATAAACCCTCCTCCTTTATTCGAGTTTGGGACCAACTACTTCAATTTCGAGTAGGCGGAGTTAAAAATTGTACATAAACAACTTGTTACGTATACAATTTTTTTAAAAAAATTATAAAGGTATGAAAATAAAATTTTGTGATGAATACAGTGAAATTAACTTGGTTACATACAATTTCGGCATATTTATCTTGAATTTGATAATTAGTGTTTTCTCAATCCTTCACGCTCATTAACGATTCCAAAATATCTTCTTTTAGTCAACTNATTAATTCAGATGACAACGCACTTGAACTATTACTCGAAGTTTGAGTACATATAGTAGAAGACAAGCTGCTGCTACTACTACTACTACTAGAGGAACCACATGCATATGCAGTTGAATCATATCTATTAGAGTTCATGCTTTCGAATAAATTTAAAACTTCAGCGTCGTCATATGTTATATTAGTGGGAAGAGTAGTTGTAGGTACACGAGTAATATGTGCACCCATTCGTGAAGCATATAATTCATACGATTTTAATAATAAGTAAGTTGAGTTCCATCTATGAGCTATGTCAGTAATAAATGTTTTTGTATGCGTCGTCCCAGCTTTTTCACAAAATTCTTCAAATGCTTGTTTTCTACTAGGTGTAATCGTGATATACGTAAGTGCATTCCTAATTCGACTAATTTTGTCCTTCACATGTTTTAAACCATCTTGTACAATTAAATTAAAAATATGGCACACACNTAATTCGGTTAATTTCATCCTTAATATGTTTTAAACCGTCTTGTATTATTAAATTAAAAATATGGCATACACATCGAATATGAAATAAATAACCACCGAAATCCGGTTGAAGTACTCTATGAAATTTATCGATAACAACCTTATTTACACTAGCGTTGTCGAACGTAAATGAACGAATTTTACTATTGCATTTATAATCTCTAATAATGTTCATAATAGTATTAAATATAGTTTGGGCGTTGTGCGGATACTCAATAATTTTAAAAGTAATAATTTTTTTATGCATGACCCAAAGTGAGTCTACATAGTATGCATTGCAGCTATATAACCTCTCTTATTAATTCATTCCCACATATTCGAAGTTAAAGATATCACACCCCTATATTTTTCTAAATCTGCAATCAATAGTTTTTTTGTATTAAGAAAATATTCNAAGATATTACACCCCCGTATTTTTCTAAATCCCCAATCAACAATTGCTTTGCATTAAGAAAATATTCAATTGTATTAGAATGAAGAGTATTTCGACTTACCCTAACGTATCTCGGTTGAAGATATTGTTTAACATAGTTTACGAAATGTTGGTTGTTCATTATTGCTAGTGGCAACTCCGCTGCGGCAACAAACTTCACCATTTTCGTTCGAGCTTCCTCCTCCGAATACATTTACATAGAAAATGGTGTAGTAGTAGCACCGGCGCTTGAAATACCAAACTATAGTTGCGTTTGACCAGCTGTAAGAAGCCCATATTTGGCCGCACAGTTTTTGTAGTGACGGTTGAAGTGGGTAGTTTGGCCTTTTTGTCATATCAGTCGTTGTTGGCAGTATTTACATATTGCTTTGGTTTGTGGAAGTTCATCGACCACATGACCAGTTTGAACCAATTTAAAATGATCCCAACATTTTAACTGTTTCTTCCCTATTCTCTTCCCTCTTGCAACGAGAATATTTAATATAGGCACTTAATCATGTTCCAACTCAACTAGATCAACA